TCAGGAAAGGGGCAAATTGAAACAGCTATTCCTAATGCCACAGTCATTCATTTCTTTAGTTATTTTTTTGTGAACACCAAGGATACAGACATATACACAGCTGGCTCTTTCCTTCAAAACCTAAAGTGCTTCTAACATATATGGACTTTACCACTTCACTACTTGAATCACACTTTAAGGAAAGAAAAACTTGTCATGCGCATGAAGGCCTGAGAAATGCTGAGTTGAACTTTTCAAACATGTTTTTCTTCTTTCATTCCCCTGCTGATAATAAATATCTGGAACGGTGAATACCATCTTTCCTGCACTGATGGGAAAGTTCTCATATAGTTTATACACAGATAAGGAGCTTTTCATGTATTCTCCAAACAGGTCAAGCTGATACAAAAAATATTTTTTTCCATTTTGCTTGATGAGAGGTAAACAAATGTTCAAAAATAAATAAAGAAATAAAAAATCCTCACATTTAAAACCCTGAGGCAAAGTGTCACCTGTTCTTTCAGAACTAGGCTGTACCACCTACTGGAATCAGTTCCAAAATTGGGGCTACAGAGAACTCTGCTGGGATCAACTTGCAACTGTAAGGATGTAACAGCTCCTCCAACTCCAGATGGTCACAGAGTCACCTCTCTTAAAAAATAAAAAAAAAAGATAGAATACCACTAATGTAACTTCCTAGTTAATAAATAAATATAAAAATAAAAACAAATCAAGCTATGACTCACTCATTTCTTCTGTAAATTATTATCTATTGCTTAAACAAACTAAATCGGGACACAGTGTGAACGAACAACTCCATGCCCTTTCCCTTCTGCCTAATCTTTATAATTCATTACAAGCTGAGTTGATTCAAGAATATTAGTAAGCACTGGAGAGCATAGGGCAAATAGCAAGCATCTGAGAATGCAGGACTCTGCTCCTTTGAAAGGAAAATACAGTAAGATTTCAAAGCGCTGTGTTGATCACCTGTTTTCTCCACACACACACTATTTGCAGTCACTAAACTACTTGGAAGCGGTTGTAGCATGAACAGGATACAGTATTTTCTTTGTCAGCTCTGCAAAATCTGTCATAGGTCAAAAGATAAGTATTTGAATACTTGAAAGTAACACTGGAATTGGATGGTGTGGCAGGGATTACTTACAAGGAAGTCATTAACACTGTTGTTATTGACACTGCAGTGACATACTTACACCCTAAAAGCGAGGCAATGCCTTTCTCAGTACAGGCATTTGTTTCAGTTTGCGTGTGGCCTGTCACATGTACCTGATGCTCTTATTACTCCTATGAGTAAGCAACACAGATACGGCAACGGTTGAAGACCAGCTAAGCCTCATCAGTGTTTCTACAGGTCCAAATCTGATCTTGTGAATACAATCTCCCTAGCTTAATGATTGAGGCATTAAACCATTGGATCTGTATTCCTCAGAGAGGTTTCTTTAACCACCAGCATTCATACTGCCTGCTTTTCAGTCACATGTCTGTATGTGTATTAAAAGCCTTCCATGGACACATGCTGTGTTCTCTTCTTTCTCAACCATTTGAGATTTTTCTTTATTTTTCAGGTGACTAAAGTGTTCTCCAACTTCATAGGCTTTGGACTTGAATGTAGACAGTCTGCTGCAAGCAACAATCACGTCAGAAGTAGCAGATCCCCAAGCATCCTAATGCTGAGTCCTCAGCTCAGTCAAATGACTGTCTCCAAAGGTTCCGAAACTCACCTTGCTGAAATCAACACATTTTCAGAGCAAAACTCTCTAGTGCAGCTGCTCACACCAGTGTTCTTTCACGATAAGTGTTCTATCTGGGGTATACAGCATGATACTCTGAGTCAGTCAGGACCTGTCTATAGCTTTCTCTACACACAGAGCAGAGAAATTGCAAGGTTGGTAACAAATGGTTTTCTATCCATTCAGTTTCCTTTTTCTGTAATAGGGTAAAAAAGCAAAGTCCAGATCCTTCCTACCTTCAGCTTGCTGATTCCCATACTCCCTTCAAATGTTGCTGTACCCCTGTACCTCTGCTTCTCTTCAGAGAGAGTAACATACTCTTACTAGTTTACCCTTATTAATAAAATATAAATTATTTTGTGTCTTGTATCATTCAAATTGTATTGAATACTTGCATCATTTTTGTATCATTCAAATTCTTCTGTGGAAAATCCTTAAACTGTACAAACTGTTTTTGCAGAAAATGAAGAGAAGTAACAGATTTCAGCTTGTCAGAGTGAACTGTAAAACATGCTGGACTTTTCCAAATACCACATTCCAATTAGCACTGCAGTCAGAAACAGACATTTCCAAAATCTTCAGATGTTACAATGGGCTTTATGTTGTTGTCAAATTAGGACTGGAATCCACTGGTTTGACCAATTCCAAAAGGAACAAGGTAGCACTTTATAGCAAGGAAAGCTGAAGCCTCTTGTAGTACTTCCCTAAGCTCTTTGGCTCAATATCCAAGACAGCGAGGAGCTTTGCCCCTGCCATTTCACAAAGAACAAGTCAGAACCAGAAATGTTTTCAAATTCTGTCAGAGCAGTGCCTCCCTGATAAGATCTGAGCAAGGAGAAGCATTGAGATAGGCCACGCCTCATCTGCAGCTTTTACATGCCTTTTCCTGTTTGTGTTTTTGTGATGATTCTCCAAAGCATAGCAAGACAACACTGCTAAGGTAAACAATAGAAAAACTAAATCTGTCTTGAAAGGAAGAGTCTCAATAAATGCCTTTCCTCAACAGATCACAGAGCTCAGGCATAAAATAAGGAGCAGGAAGGTACTGCTGAGTCTTGTGATGTGTGGGAGTACCCCCAACAGCAGATGCTCAGCTGCAGGACATTTATATTATCCCAGGCATGTGCAACCTGAGGGCTGGCTCAGCTTGCAATGCACTCGCCCTTCACCCTGAGCTATAAAGGTGATATTTCTTCACTGCACAGTGGTTCAGGGCATGTACCCATTGCTCAGCAACAACTAAACCAGTGCTATTCACACTGTGTTGACTGAAACCAGGGCACAGGGAAGGCAGCATGGGCAGTGCTGATTCAAGTGACGGAAAATAGTTATACATTTTGTTAAATTGGCTAAACACAGTGCTCTGAACAGCAAGGAATATGCAGCCACGCATTCTGTTTTGCTAAAGGAATTTTAGCATCAGTTTTAAGATTGCTAAAAGAATCAATTTATGTTCATGGTATCGATTTCAGTTAATAGAAATACACTACCTGAAAATTTCAAATGGAATGTATAGAGTTGCAATCAGATATTCAACTCCAAAATGTGACCATGTCCCTCTACCAGACTTCTATGAGCCCTCTCTTACCAGAGAGAAATACGCCTCACTTCACAGCCCCGCCTCATTCATCTCACTGCTTTTCAGCAGTACATACCTTTGTGAGCAAATACTTTCAAGGATGAAGTACAGAAAGAGTAAAATTTAGACAAAAATCTCTGAGGAATACCTTGAGAGCCTACTGAAAACTGCAGCCACTGTCACTAAGCCAGAGTGATGCGCTAGTTTCACAAAAACAAGGAGAGATATCCCTTAGTTTTCTGGTCTTGTTCTTCTTGTTTCTTATAATTTTTAAGAAAAAAAAAAAACACATTAAAAATTAAAATGTTTTGTTACTTATATATTAACGATACTGCTTCTTCTACAAGGGCTGCTCTGAAAGTAATGTCTCCTATTATATAATGTTGGCCCATGACATCAGAGGTAGATGGTGACAGTATGGCAGTAGAGGCTGAACCTTCCCACTGATGTTCTGTTACCTGTTGTTGTTGTGTGACAGATGGCAACAGAGGTCTGACATGGAAGTGTGCATGAAGCAACAGAGTGTCAATGAATTCTTCCATGAGGAAAAAATGGCACCCATTGACATTCACTGAAGCTTGTTGAACACTGATGGAGACCAACCAGTGGCTGCAAGCACAGTGAGGCAATGAGGCCATGTATGGTGTGTTTCAGCAGTGGTGACAGCGATAGTGGGTCATCTCTGCTGGTACAGATTTTTATGAGCATGGCATGCAGATTCTTGTTCATTGCTGACAAAAATGCAGAGCTAATGGTGGTGACCATGTTAAAAAACAGTGTTTTGTAGCTGAGAATTTGCTCTATCAAATAGCGTCATTGTGCTCTTTTTATCTGTCATAGTTTCCATGGAAATAAATAGGAGAGTAACATTCAGAGTAACTAATGTATATACAGCCCCAAAATCATTACACTTCACTCAATGTGGTGCAGGCAAGCCAAAAAGTTGGACTCCAATGTATTATCGACTGTGATCCTATGATTTTACTAAGGAAAATGCAGTCACATGCTACTTCAGCTGGAGACAGAAGCATCAGAGCAGGCAGACAAGTGCAGGTCTCGATGCAGCAATCCGTGCTGCTGGAAGGGAGCATGCAGAGATACCCTGGGGAGATCCAGACTGCATCTGCTTCGCTCTGCTCTTCACTAACGCCTTGTAACGAAAGGGAGAGGTGGCCAAGCTGTCACGCACTTCAGTCTCAAGTACAACATTTCCACGGCTGGTGCGGATTAGCCAAGCTGGAAATCCCCAGCGTCCCCTCTCCGTCCCATACACTTCAGGATTCTTGTCCTGTGCAATTAATAGCGTGCGGGCAGGGGCAGTACCGCAGTCACCGGGTTTCCATAGGTCGACACCGGCCGCTCCCTCTCCCCTCGGCCCCAGCACATCCCATGCGAGGGGAAAGCGTGGGGCTGAGGCACTCCAGGAAAGCACCAGCCGCGGGCTGACGCGCCCCACAGCCCGTCCCGGTCCCGCCGCTTCGCCCGGCGCCGCCCCCCCCCCCTCCGCCGTCTCTCGCCGCCCCCGGGCGCCCCGGGCCTGGCGGCCGCCCGCTCCCCGCACACCGGGGCGGGCCGGGGGCGGGCCGGGCA